CCATGCAAGCGTCTGACAAACCTGGAGCACAAAAAAAAAACACCCTCGCCTGCCCCCAGAGCGTCAGTGCCGTGTTCATGCCGGCCCAGAGCAAACGCAACCTCTCACGTTGCTCCGGCACTGAAATGGCACGCTGGCTGAGAGCGCCAACCGCGCCATTTCCCGGTGCACGCTACTGCTCCGTGTTCAAATGACAACCCGTTCGACCGCTTCCCTATATTAAACATGTGCAGTTCTTGCCGAGGAACCTGCTCTAGAGCCACCCGTCCATCCGTCTGCCACCTACCATTAACCAACTCATCGCTTGCCCTACCATCCGCCCGCTATGGAAACTCTAGGCCCAACCATTACTGCATCCAACCTCCTCCACTCACTTTCTCCTCTTGGCACCACGACCGCCATGGCTCCTCGTGCTCCAAAGCCCTCTGGGATAGCCTCTCGTCCGAGCAGAAGAAGAAGAAGAAGAAGATCATCGCCATTGCAGCCGACTAGCAGGTCGGTGGATATTCGAGCTCATTGGAGGCTACTTGCAGACACCCCAATCGAAGAGGCGGGCGATGACAAGCCAACGCCATTTTCCTTGCCGGTCCAAGCCAGCATCACCATGGGTGAGGCATGTTCTCACTACACTGCGATGGTGTTGCAAGAATGTCGAGCCATGTTTCGGTAGTCGCGGCCTGACCAGTCCTACAACCTTCGCCTCCTCGACAAGCACCGGGGCACAGAGTAGCAACTAGCCGCCAACACGGGCATCACGTCGGACGTGGATGTGGGTGAGCAGGATGCACTGCTCCAATCCTACCACACCGCCTGCGACATACGTCATGTCCGCTAGCAGTACCGCATCCATGAAGCGGTGTTAGAAGCTGCATTCAAGGAGATCGATGAGGCGGCGGGTGAAGTGTACGATGTGGATAACGTCGCCAGCTCCGCTACAGCCGCGCACTGCCGCCACCGCGATGAAGCCGGCATGTCCGTGGGCGCCGCCAGCAGCGAGGAAGAGTAGAGTATGGGAGGTCGTCGGCGCTCGAGTCCCAAGAAGGCCACCACTCCACCCTTCCCTTTGAAGTTAAGTTTGACGGGCTCATCATCGTCGGCCGATTAGCCGCTTTGCAGGCTACGGAGGCGGAGCTACATTTTCCGGGGCTCATGGCCGCCCGGACATGGGGAACGGGCGTCAGCAGTCATTTAGACTAGGTTTAGAGTATTGTTTAGTTGAAATATGTCGAAATGTAATGCATTTGCTTCGGTGTAGATGAAAAGCATCCAGTTTTATACAAAAATTATCCAAGTATGAATGAATATTGTCCGGTTTGTTTAAATATGCATCAAATGTGCTCACATTCGTTAAATTTCTTCCAAAATGTAAGTGGGTATTTTACGAGGATAATTGGATGGCCGGCTCTCATATCAGTGTCCGTGGATGGATGCAGTGTCCATTTTGAGGGCCAGTCTGGGATAGGGATGGCAATGGGTCGGGTTTGGGGCGGGTGGAGCTGGTCCAAATTCAACCCATGACCCATCTTCCTACCCTCTACCCATTCACCAAATTATCCATGGGCACAACTTGTGCCCGTGCCCAAACCCGCTGGATACCCACATACCCATGGAGCTCCATGGGCATAGAAAAGTCAGCATGAAGCCTTCCCAAATATCAAATCAACTCATCATCATTCACTCACAAATGACAACATAAGCTACATGCATAAGTAGGTAACAAGTAATACGATGAGTCCTTAAATGTGACATATCAGAGGTTGATTATGTAGCATATAGCTCATGGCACAAGTTGCATATTTCCTGCAATTTTCCATTGATTTGCTCTTTCTACTGTCACTACCATATGACCCCACATGTCATACGGGTATCCATTGGATATCCATGGAGCACAAACTATAACCATGCCCAACCCGGTTGTTCGTGGGTATCCATATCCACGGACCCATGGGCAGAAATGTGCTCCATACCCTTCCCCAACTGGGTCAGGTATTCATGGGTATCCAGATCCATGAATAAAATTGCCATCCCTAGTCTGGGAGATGGCCTAACCATTAAGATGACTCTCTCTTTTTCATTTCCTACAATCTGTAAGTAATTAAATGTTTCTTCACCTAGTAGATCTCCTAAAAGTTAATCTCTTAAAAAATTGTAACACATCTTTTTATACACAAACTCATTGAAAACACATGTTTAAACTTGTTTATGGTAACACATTCACATCCCGAAAATCCAAATCGACTCTTGGAAGCATATGTTCATGCGCAGCAAAAATGCTTTTGTATAAGTAAAAATAATTGTGTGT